TCTGTAAAAAACCCTACTCTCCCTTGATCTATAAAAGGGGAGGCATGGCTCCCCACTAAGGAATCGATCAACCGATTCTGAACAGGCTAGCACACACACACGCACCACACGGCCGAGCGCCAACAGAGCTTTTGGCGTCCTTCCAATCACTCCATCAGGGACTTGGGGTCTCTCCCTCTCCCAACCGTTTGTACCCCCTACTACGAACCTCATTCGGTGCTAATAACACAAGCAGCAACAGACTGAACGTAGGGACATTCAGCCCGAACCAGTATAACCCTTGTGTCCTTTAGCGCACCATCCGGGCCTAACGCGCATCAATTACAAATTTACTCGCTGTTGTTTGTTCGAAACACCGACAGTGAGTCATTGAAAAAGTTCAGCGGTCTTCAGCGCTATTACTTTAATTTTTTTACCCTCCATGCCACTGTCGTCAGATTAAGCCATAACGGTGTCAAACTGTAGGTGTGAAAAGTCAAAAATACCTTTAAGTCTAAATCCGCCATTTTTTTGAGCATCTTAACGACTTCAAATGGAAAAATTTAAAACTAGAAAGTTGTAGATCTCGTCGAGATCTATAATTTTCATATAAAAATTATATTCTTTAGAAAAATCATATCTTTTTTGCGGTATTAAAAGAAGATAATTTTTATATAAAAATTATAGATCTCGACGAGATCTATAACTTTCTAGTTTTGAGTTTTCCATTTGAAATCGTTAAGATGCTTAAAAAAAATTAATGATATATTTAAACTTAAGGATATTTCTGACTTTTCATAGCTACAGTTTGACACCGTTAGAGTCCAGTCTAACGGTAATGCCATAGAGGATAAAAAAAAAGTTAAAACAGTGAGACTGAACACCGCTGAACTCTTGCGGGCAGAAAATTACGATTTTTTTTTAACTGCCCACGACGAATTCCCCCGAAGTCTAAACTCCTACCCCTTGTCCTGCGTTGGGCAATCGCCATAGCCGTGTTGGCGTGTTGCCCTGCCGCCACCCCACCCCACCGTGTTCCGTGAACCAGCCCAGGGCTGCTGTGCCTGTCCCGCTCCCCCGCCGCCCGCACCTCGCCGCCTGGCCCCGCGCGCTCCTGCTATCGCGTCACCACCGCCGCCACCAGCCCTGGGCCTGCGAGATGGCTCTCCGGGTTTCGCACGCGGCGCGGCAGCCCAACTAGTCAACTAGATCGGTACACCGGACTTCGATCGGTGAGTCAGGTTTCTCGTCGGCATCGCCTCCTCGATTCGGACTCGCCTAGGCCGCGAACGATGTCACGTGGTGGGTGCCGATTTTGTGCAGCTTGTGCAGTTGCGGAGGTGGATTAAGCACCGGGGAAGGGCGTGCTGCAAAATCCCCTCCTATTTGTGAAAGTACATTGAGATATCAGGAATTGATTCAGGGCTTTTGACGGTGTTCTTTGTTGAACTACTTGCAATTCTAGCATTTGAATAATGATGGGTTATTAAAGAAATTTCATGGTAGATGTACTAATTTGGCTCTAGCTCATGTTTGGGTCTGTAATCTGCAGAGTCGCCCTCTTCCTGATAGCGAGCATGAGCAGCGCAAGCCGCGCAACTGATCTGCTCTCACATAGCTAATCATCTATATGATGTTTCTGCTATCAGCTTGTGCACATAGTATTAGGATATTGATTTGTTTTATGGAACCGAATTCCACAATTTTGCGACTACCCCTTGGTTTCACCACAGGCTACATGGGCGTCAATCTGAACCTAGTCTACATGTACTAATTTGACTTCCCCATGTGCACCTTCCGTTGCCGTAGCTTTTTTTGCTAAAAGAAAACTATTTACCTGGCATTACCTCTATTATCGTTTCATCAAAAAAAAAAAAATTACCTCTATTGTCAAGATTAACATAATTGTTGATCATGTACCACACATGCCTGCATTTCTTTAAAAAACCATGAAGGTTCTTTTACTTCGATTTTTGTTTCCAAGAAGATAATAACATGACTACATGAGCATAAATAATCTCTGCTGTGCTCTAATCATAAATAATCTCTTAGGGATAGAATTATTCTGCATGGCAATCAAGTCCACATTTTTATGGACCAAGCAAATGACCACATGGAGGTAGGATTATTCCTTTTTTTTAAAAAAAAAACTTTTCCTCCCTGCCTGGTCTGCTTTTATCTATTCTCTTTCCTATTTCATTGACCCGAGTCATTAAGAAAGGGGTTTTGGCTATCATCACATGGTGTATATAGTTGGAGTTTGCTTTTATGTCAATGCTTGCAATGATCTTCTCCCAAATGAAATTGGCTTAGAATAATTGTGCCATCTCCATGGTGGATCTGGAAAATCAGAAATAAACAGGTTATAGAAATTCACTTGGTTGACTCCTGTTGCCTGTAGCTTCACTGTTGTTTTAGTTTAGGAGTATTTTCTTCTATTCCTTGATCATTTTGCGTTAGTACTTTGTTTTCACACCCCAAAAGAATTGACCTGAAAAACCACCATCATGTACAAATATATTTGGAACTGAATGCCATAGGTTTTTCAAAATACTAAACGTGGTCCTAAATGCCTGTGTTTAATTGGAAACCTGTCATTCTCTACATTTCACAAAATAAGGTTACTCTTTGTGTTGATAGCACGCCTGCATTGCTTTACACGGTGGATCTTATTTAGGCATTCAACACAATATATATTTCCTCTTCCCCTTTGAGCTACCACTGCAAACTTCTGTTTTTTTTCTTGACTGATGTGTATGCCTCAGTCACATGTGTATTCTATATTGCAATAATTTCCTGTTGTTGCTGTTTGGGATGCTCAGGCAATCGGGCATGTTATACCAGTTCAATAAATGCATTGCTTGTTTCCTGGATTAGACTAATTTTCCTTTTTGCTGTTACTTCATATTCTTACAGAATTTGGTTGTATCTGTACTTGCACCTGCATCTTTATAGCCATATATATTTTCTCTTGATATATTTTGGCAGCTTCTTTGACTCTCTAATACTAGGTGTTTGGTGATTTGCTTATTTTGCACTCAACATTACATAACTGTCTAAATTTACTATGTAGCTACTGCATGCCAATGAGGATCTATGGGCCGTAAACCACTCAGCTCTCTAATTAATTTTGTTATTGCTGCTTTTCCAATCTGCCTTTGCTCCTGATCTTGGTGAAGGCATTGTGTTCTATTTTCATTCTTGACCCTATATAAGATGAGGTACATCCAGAAAACCTACTGCATTCAGCTCATTGCTTGTCTGTTTTCTCTAGATGTACTAATGATGTTCTTTCAAGTAATTTTCCTAGGTTGTGCTGCATATATTCTTTAATACTAGATGTACACATTGGCATTATTTAAGTTGCTCTGAAGTACTGATAACCATATTTCTTGTTCTCATTCTATCTTCCAAAACAAGCTACTTGTATGTGCAAGCTACAGATATTCAGGTACATATCTTTTACAAAAAGGTCATGTTTTTTTGCTCAGAAAATAGTATTATGGTAGGTGTTTGATGATTGCTTATCTTGCATAAACCTGGGTAAATATTACTATTTGTTCTTCTAGACGAATAAAAAAAAGTCAACATAGATACAAAATCTTGGTAGATACTATCTTTTCATGGTGCCCTATGCTTTTTATTTATGATGCAAATCACTGGCGAAATTTGTAACTGTGTATGACTCCATTGTCATTTCCACTTTTCTCATGACTTTTTTTTTTTTTAGGAAACAGGAGGGACTTGCCCCTACTGGATGTTCTCATGACTTCTTTGGTTTCCTTGGTATTTGTTCATGCTGTCTTGTACAGTTATGCTTCAATTATGGCGGATTGGACAAGGAAAGCATCTGTGCATAAGCACACTAGATAGAAATACACCAAAATACAACATGTTTTACGGTTTTACCACTAGCATGCACTGATTGAAATTATTTACATGGTTAATTTGCGGTTACACATTACTTGTGTTACTTATAACTCCATGGCAGTATCGTTGGATGAGAAACATGAGCTTTGCCGTTTGTTCAGCTTATCTCTATTTTTCTTTCCTAATCATGTTTGCATGAACTGGTCCACCACGCCTGCAACAGGCATGCAAAGTTTATGCACATGGATAAATAATCTGCCTTGCCATGGTCCTTTCATTGTTGCCCATCAACCAGAAAATGTTCTAATTAGATATAAAAAATTTGAATGATAAAAAAACATTTAGTTTTGCTAGCAGTCAAGAAACTGCCTTGCCACAGCAGTTTCAGTTCAAGATGCTAATTACAAAAGGTTACTGCAATTTAATTGCGAGATAGCCTTCTATGCAGTAACAAAATGACAAGGTGCTCAGATAAACAAATGGGATGACGAGACATCAACGAATGTATGGTTCCACATTATAAACAATTAAATATGCATATAGCTTAGAGTTATTAGATACTTGCCACAAAAGGATGGACTGTTTTAGTGATTTGCTCATATCTTCTAAGAGAAGAGTTACATCAAGATGAAACCATTTCAGAAGCATTTGATTTTCATCTTTACATGTTCAGTAAAGTAGCTATTCCCCTAGCTATTACCCTCTCTTGCTATTTTATAGTCATTATCATCTATTGGTATTTTCGAGCTTAATTCTGGGCTGATATTAACCTCATATATAACGGTTTGTCTTTTTTCTTTTTCATGTGGTTTTCAGTAACAGACTAACAGTGCTCCATCACTATTAACTTCCCTAATGTAAGCCATGCCTTGGAACATAATGAGTAGCTAGCAGCTGCCATCTGAATAGCCTAGTAAAAAGCACAGAGGTTTGGGAAAAGAGAAGAAGAGCAAAAGAAGTCATGAGGCAGCCCAAAAGCAGTGACATGTACATTGCCGAGCATCGAGCCAGTTGTTGTACACTCTTAGCATTTCAATATTGGGCGGTGATGTCTTAAAGAAGCAATGGATTTTCTCTACACGGTTCTTCCCTGTTTTGGCTACCCTCTCTTGCTTCCTCCTCCGCTGGCCATCGCTCAATAGTCAAGAACAATGTCTCGGCAAGATCTGCTGGAGGCAGGAGAGGCGACCGCTGTGGTGGGTGCAATTATATGGCTAGCGCAAACCATCCTGGAAACTCTTCAACCAGGAAAACTTGCCGACTGGCTTCGTCAAGTTGGCCTCACTGCTGCCATCGAGGAACTCAAATCTGAGGTCGAGAGGATGGAGACGGTGGTTAATGGTGTCAATGGAAGGGCGGTCGGGAACAAGCCGCTCGCTCCCTCCCTCTCTCGTGTCAAGCAGCTCATGTACGACGCCGACGACGTGGTGGATGAGCTCGACTATTGCAGGCTCCAGGAGGACTAGGTCAAAGGAGGTATGTATACATCGATCCTTATGGTTTGTGATTTTCTTTTACAATTTTTTCCTTAAGTAGATTGTGATAATCCTCATGACACGTTCTTTCTCCTTTCTCTCTCAGTTATGATTTCTCCTGCTATTGGACCGGAAGGCATAGTTGGAGATGGAGCAGAGCAAGTAGATGCATCGGCCAATACTTCTGGTATACATTGATCCTTGATCTGTGATTCTCCACAGTTTTTTTTTCTTTAGTAAATTGTGATGATAAATGCGACGCTTGACCTGTCCTCACTACTTTCTCCGTTCTCTATCAGTTATGCTTGCTCCTGCTACTGAGCCGGAAGGAATGGTTGGAGATGGAGATAGAGATCGAGAAGGGCAAGTAGATGCATCGGCCAACAATACTGGTACACTGAATAGTAGCGTCCGCAAAAATCGATCCGAGATGCGGGACTACTTTCAGATTATACCATCTGTTAACAGAGAGCCTGCAAAAGCGAGGTGCAATCACTGCGGCAGAGAGCTTACATGGGGTCACGGGACATCAGCTTTGCACAAGCATCTCAAAAGTTGCAACAAAAAACGTTCAGCAATTGAAGAGACGCTGAACCCTCCAAGGTACTTACCTTCAAGTTCTGCATTGTATCCAACTATGATGGGCAAAAATAATGAACATTGCAACGCCTTTATTCTTAAAAAAAAACATTGGAGCATTGGAGCCAGCACCTTAATATATGCGTACAGGTTTTTATTATTATAGGAAAGCAAACTGAAACTATGACAACCAGTGCAACTTCAAATTATGGTAATAAATTTCTGATGACCAACCTGTGAACTTTTTCCTATTTTTTTTAAAGTAATAGCAGGAGCTCTGCCTTTCAATTAAGAAGAATAGAATTGGCCTAGTTTATAAGGGAAACCAGGCCTGAAAACCTTACATAGGCACAGATTAAAACACAGAAAATACTCACAACACCAGAACATCATAGCCCTAACGACTAACACACGGTCCTTTTCCTATTGTAGTGTCGGCAACAGTGTACAAAATGGTGCCACAATTTCGACCAATGATTCAGACGGCAGAAAAAGGATGAGAGTTGAGTACAATGTAGCTACAACCACACACCTCTGGGGCAAGGCTGAATTTTTGAAAAGGATCCAGGAAATAGTTCTTGAGTTAAGAAGCATCCGAGGCGATGTGATTGAGTATCTCAAGGACTCTATTGCAAGGTCTGATCAGTATCAGATTAACAACTCAGATACACGAGTAAGAACATCAAGCTCTCTTCCTGGAAAGGTATATGGAAGGGATGTGGAGAAAGCCAAAATCATAAAAGCGATCAAAGCTGCTAAGTCGGACAACATAACTGTGCTACCTATTGTAGGTATTCTAGGAGTTGGGAAGACAGCTTTAGCTAAGCTTGTATACAATGATCCACATGTTGAAAGAAAATTTGAGCGGATATGGGTTTGGGTGTCCAACATCTTTGACGAAGTAAGAGTGACAAGGGAGATCTTAGACGTTGTTACTTTGGCTAGCCATGAAGGATCTCGCAAAAGAGAAAGTTATGAAGGAGTAAGCAACTACTCGAAGCTTCTAGAGGTCTTAAAGAAACATATGGCATGTCTGTCCAAAAGGTTTCTCCTAGTTCTAGATGATGTCTACGACTGCATGGATAATTCCCAATGGGAAGATCTATTGGATGCATTGGGATCAAGTTGCACAAACGGCAATGTGATTATTGTGACAACTAGAAATTTGTCTGTTGCAAAAAGGCTGGGTACAATCAAACCAGTTGAATTAAGAGCTCTAGGAAATGATGATTTTTTGCAATTGTTTAGAGCTTGTGCATTTGGTGATAATAATTATAAAGAGCATCTAGACACCGGCCTACAAATATGTGCAAAGTTAAAGGGAAACCCATTAGCAGCGAAAAGTGCAGTGGAAATGTTAAGAGAGCAGCCTTCATTAAGAATGGTATTTGGGAATCTCTGCAACTCCGTGGAGGCATCGTGACTGCTTTGAAGAATATCTATTATCATCTGCCCTACATTTACAACAGTGTTTCTTGGCATGTTCTATATTCCCTAGTGACCATCAATTTCATATTGATGGTTTGGTTTCCATGTGGATATCATCGGGATTTGTGAAATATATTGAGACAGGATGGGATTATCTCAATGCTTTGGTCAACTCATGTTTCTTTGAGCAGGTTGGAACAAAAGATGACTCCGTTGGAACAAAAGATGACTCCATTCTACAACAATGCTATGTTATGTGTGGTATGGTGCATGAATTTGCGAGACTGGTTTCAAGGACCGATTTTGCAACTATAGATGGTTTAGAGTGCAAAGAAGTGCTACCAACCGTGCGCCATTTGTCAATTCAAACTGATTTGGTGTACCATATAGATGAATGTGAGAACATAGTTGGTAATGTGAAGTTTGAAGAAAAATTGCAAAGTATAGCTTCTTCATTAAGGAGATTGAGGACGGTGATCTTAGTTGGGCGCTATGATTCTTTATTCATCCAGTTCAAGTCCTTCCATACCTTTATCTCCAATTTGGTAAATTGTACCCATCTTCGCTACCTAAAACTTGAGAACAAAGGCAAAAGTGAATCTTTGCCTATATCTCTAAGCAAGTTTTACCACCTTGAAATATTAGATGCTGGGTGCCAAGCAATTGTTCATGATATGAGTGATCTCATCAGCATGAGGCATCTTGTTCTGACAAAAGGAGCTTGCACCCCAGCTAGATCTGCTAGCTTGCAGATGATCCATCTAGAGGATTGTAAAGGATGGCAAATAATCCCATCTCTAGAAAGTCTATCATCTCTTACAAAGTTGAAGTTAAGGAATATGCCAGAAGTAACAGAGTTGCTAATTCCTTCGTTAGAGGAGCTGGTGTTGATTGATATGCCAAAGTTGGAAACATGTTTCTCTAATTCAGTGAGGGACTTGAACTCAAGTTTGAGGGTACTGGAGATCAGGAGATGCCGGGTACTGAAGGCCTTTCCCCTATTTGAGAGCTGTGAAAATTTTGAAATCGACCAGAAGTCATGGGTGCCAAATATTAGTGAGCTGACCATCCATGAGTGTCCTTATTTAGTGGTATCGAATCCTCTACCATCATCAAGTAGCTTTTGTAAATTATCGATCACAGATGTTTCAACACTTCCAACAATGGAGGGATCATCAAATGGGGAAGTGAAAATTGGATTTTATGGTGACCCATCTTCCATTGAGTTCCTGGATGACAAAATTTTGTCATTTCACAACCTGAGGACCATAACTCGATTGAAAATAGTGCGCTGCAAAAAATTATCTTCTATTTCACTCGAAGGTTTTAATCTACTCGTCTGCTTGAAGAGGTTGAAAATAAAGCGCTGCGAAATTTTTTTCTCTACCGATGTTCCATCAGCGCATACCCATGAAGACATGGCAGCCGCAGATTTTGATGCCCTCCCATCTCTCAAGCGTCTCAGCATTCAGTATTGTGGAATGACCGGGAAGTGGTTGTCTTTGATACTCCAACATGTGCGAGCCCTAGAGGAATTGCATCTAGTGAGTTGTCGGCAGATAACAGGGCTATCGATAGAAGGAAAGGAGAATAGTTTATCAAATCTCACCTCGGCTCCACGTGCTATGTCACAAAGAAATCCATATCAAGATGGCGCATCGACTAGGATTTCAGTCTGTAGCCTCAAAAACCTGATGTTTCTTGTGACAGGTTCTCTGATTCTGCACAGGCTTTTGTTTCACTTGTAAACCTTGTCCTTGTTGCTCAAGTGCTCATGTTGCTGAATGCTGAATACGGTTTTCCTGATTGGCCTTGTCGGCCGTTCTGAAAGCAGCGTGGTAGTAGAGGTTCTGTTGTCATATGACTGAAAAGAGCCTATTAGTATTTTCTTCCCGAGGGTGTTTATTGTTTACTTTGTTGACTACAGAAGGGACTACAATATATATAGAATGCACTTTCCGTAATCAAAAGAGTTGGTGTAAATAATGTTATCCTCAATCATCTTGCTTTCTTGCTAACCAGTAGACATAATGGGGATGGGATTGAAGCAACTCATTTATTTCTCTGCTATAAACCTGGACAGCGAGCAGCACCAATCGCAAGGAACGGTCCAACGCATGGATGAGTTTTAGAATTCAGACTGCAAATGGCTGTTGAGTGTTGACGGAAACCTGTGAAAGCAGAGTGCATTCTCTACAATGGCTGTTAGGTGCAACACTAGTGAAGGGACATCAGTTCTGCACAATCGCAAGACAGAATTTGTAGCTATTGGATTGACACCAAACTCAAACTCTTCAAGGTACTAGTTAGCTTGACTATGCGGAATTCATGTAGCCGCAATATAATTAATGGCGCACCTTTGCAATATCGAATTATGATCAGTCGTGGACAAAAATATTGAAACTTGCAACGTGTTTATCCAGAAAACAGCACCATATGATAGGTGAGGATAAAGTTTTTATTTTTCAAAAAAGAAAGAAAGCAAAATGGACTTTTTTGAACTGTGCATCAGTGATTCAGTGCAGTTCTGAATTACAACTACAAGCTACTTAATAACCAGGCCACGCTCCTTTAACTCTTGTAGTGCTGTTGGTGGTGCCATCATTTTGATTCATGATCCTGATAGCAAAAAAAAAAAAGACTGAACACAGCACCAAATACACGTCCCTTGTAGGGATGACGGATGAGCAAGTAAAAACGTACTATAATACTATCCAAGGTGCTAGCGGCGGTCAGTGTTCAGACCTGCAGTGCTCCGGCGTCAGGCAAATCCACGGCATTGTTTTGGACATTGGGTTGTCTCAGTCAGAGGAAGGACCTCATCACCCAGGATTGAGCCCTGGGCCGGGACACACTGCTTCTGTTTGGGACACAGCACAGCTTGGTTATACAGTGTGAGTCGCCGATAAATTAATTGATATCAACAAAACTATACAAACAAATCACAAAAGCGGGGATAGCTCAGTTGGGAGAGCGTCAGACTGAAGATCTGAAGGTCGCGTGTTCGATCCACGCTCACCGCACTCTTTTTAAGTTTTTTTCTTTTTCTTTTTCTTTTTTCTTTTCTTATTCATTCTCTTTTTATTTTTTCCCCTTTTCTCAGTGTGCTCATTCTTATTTTATTTTTCCTCACTGTGCTCAACTGAAAATACAACTACTGTTTTGCATTCTCTTTTTTTTTATACTTTTCTCATTGTGCTCATTCTCTTTTTATTTTATTTTTCTTTTTCTCAGTGTGCTTTTCTTCTTTCCTTACTGTGTTCATTCTCTTTTTTCTTTTGTCAAAGTGCTCATTAATTCTTATTTTATTTTTTATCACTGTGCTGAACTGAAAATGCAACTACATTTTTTTTGCATTCTTTTTTTATACTTTTCTCATTGTGCTCATTCTTTTTTTTTCTCACTATTCTTTTTCTATTTTTTTGCAATATGCTTGGCCGAAAATGCAACTAATAACTATTTTCCCTTTTTATATATTTTTTAGCTGTGCTAATTATCTTTTTTATTTTTTTCTCACTTGCTCGACTGAAAGTGCAACTATCGTTTTTTTCATCAAGGATGCTTTGTGTTTTCACTTTTTTTCATCAAGGACTTTGTTTATTTTCTTAGAATTGTAGTTAGACAACGTTTCATATTCCACTAGTGACCACGTCCAATAATTATTTCCACAAAATAAGATACAAAAAATAGTAAATTTACACTTTATAGTTAGCTTTAACCCTAAAACTATCAAATAGCAATGAGCTGTATTGTAGTTTGCATTTAGGTACAATATATCAAAAATACTAATAGTTTTTGGATCATGAACTTATTTTTGTCTTGTCCTAGTCACATTATGTCCAGACGCTACATGCACAAAGGGCGTGTTTGGATGCAGCCCTGGGTCAGTTTTGCCTGAAAAATCTGTAGCCTGTAGTCTGCCTGGAAGCTATTTGGTTGGAACCCTGGACAGCAGCCTGGACCAGGCAGATGCTGCTTCCCCAGGCGACCAAAATCGACTGCCTGGCTGCTGCATGCTGTTGCCTGGGCATTAATCAACGTGAGAACTCTCTAGGGGCCCACAACTCTCTTTTCCCAGGCAATAAACTTCAACCAAACAGTCACCCTTGCGGTTGCCTGGCCAGGCAAAATCGAATGCAGTTACAGGCAACATGCATGCAGCATCTTTGTCCAGGCAAATGATTCAGGTTGCAACCAAACATGCCCAAAGTTTCGATCATCAGCCCCACATGGCAAGGCAAACCCTTGGAGAGATCGAGCTCTAGAGTCAGGGCCTTAGGGGACTCAAGAGTGCACTGTGCACAGCCTGCTGTCTCGGCCCGTCATGTATGTCGCGCTGGGCCACCGGGCCACCGCGCCCAGCGGATGGAATTAATGGGCTAGCTAGTGAGTTGTGAGAGACCCATGCTTTGCGCTGCATATTGCTAGGTAGCGCGGCGTGATGGATGCGCCCAGTTGCTCCACTCCACGCGGTTGTCGAATTTCTTGCTTGAGAAACGGCCGTGGATGCATGAGAGCGCGATGTCGGCGAGGTGACGACGACCGATCGGCCCAGCAATGCGGCCATGCATGACGATGCAACTCACCACATTCCTACTCAGTCAAAGTTACCGTGTGCCGCACGCCGATCCGCGCGCTGCCGGAGAGACCTACGGACGCCGGAGCCCTGAGGTTCGCATAGTTTATTAGGCCAGTGTCAATAGAGACCCTATGGACGTTCGTGAGAGGAAAAAACCCTATGCATATGTACAACCCCGCCTAGCTCCCTATGCATAATGCCTTGTTAACTTTTTATGCTTTTCAAGCAATTAATTATTGTGTAAAATTATGTCCATGACAATCAACTAAAACAAGTATGGTATAGTATGAGATAACTCTCCACCCAAAATACTATTAGTTGTGCAGTTTGTAAATAATGGTCGGATCGATTTCGTTCCAAACATATATGTATATTATTATATCATCAACATGAAGATAATATCCTCGTTCCCTAGCTACTTATTTATTTTCGGCTAGCTAAATCAATACGTAAAAGAAATTATTTTATGTGGCACCAAATTAAACCGATGTGCTTGTCACCGCCCATCCAAATCAAAGTTGGTTGGCTAGTAGGCGCGTTCCACATCGCACCCATTTCTTTTTTACCGCTTGTCACAAATAATATATTGTCACGTCGTGACTTACCGAGATATATACTAGGGGCTTGTTTAGATGGCGAATTTTTTTACAAAATGCACTGTAGCACTTTTCGTTGTTATTTGGTAATTAGTGTCCAATCATAGTCTAATTAGGCTTAAAAGATTCGTCTCGTGAATTTCGTCTAAACTGTGTAATTAGTTTTATTTTTTATTTATATTTAATGCTTCATGCATGCGTCCAAAGATTCGATGTGACGGAGAATCTGAAAAATTTGGTAAAATTTTCTGGAACTAAACTGGACCTAGCTTGAGAGATCCAGTTTGGTTGAGATGTGAGACGATGGTGTCTCACTCTTATATTACTACCACACACGTACGCACAAGTACAAGCAAGCGAGATGCGATTCTTTTTTCCCCTGTAAAGACTTTTAACCTCGCAGTACAGAGCCCGAGGTCAAGATCAACGACGACGACGACGACGACTAGCAGTAGTTAAGGCCAAGTGGAGACAATATTGACCGACTCACATGACAAGCATCCTGTAGATGTAGTACATGTGCTATCAGTACCAATCTGTACCAGAGAGCTGGGTAGCTCTGGTAAAATGTTGTACGTACCCCGTTCGCTTCGCTGAAAAAACAAACTAAAATACTATTTCGGCTCATTTGTTGTGAGAGAAAAACACTATTCCGACTGAAAAAACAAGCTACCTAGCATTCATGCATGCCTACTGTCTGCTCCACAAAATCTTCATTGTAATCCGAGGTCAATGCAGCGATAATATATACTCGATTGCGTAACACCTCTATTCTTACGCAACCACACACTACGAATCTACGACACGGTATTGTTAGAAACAAACAAGCATGCATGTTGGATTGGACGTACGCAACAAGTATATCTGCAGCTTCCTGGAAGGATCCAAACTGCTGCAAGCACAGGCGGACTGTACCTGTGGGCTGTGGCGACTTGCAGTGTACACGCGGACTAAAATACGTGTGGTGTGGATCGTCAATTGTCGTCGGTCTCTGACCGTCGGGTTGCATTGGATCCATCCAATCAGATGCATGCCAAGGTAGTCTTGCGGCGCCGCGAGGGCACTTCATGTCAACGTGTCTTTAGTTGGAGAAACACCTACTCAACATCAGTTGAGTGAGTCCACATGCACTGAACAATCAATCAGAGCCTGACTGTCTGAGACAACAACAGGTTTGGCAGGGTTGTATATCTGAATGTATATATATATAGTACAACTCGAAGAAAAACGAGTCCTATTTTTTCCTTGACAATATCAGAAGAAACAAATTGATTGAAACTCTCTACATATCTTAGGTGGGACAATATCTGAAGTAGTTTCCACTATGTTAACTCTAACCTAAGGTCTGTAAATTTTCAGTGATACGTGATAAACTAGAAATCATGCGCGGCGTTGCCGCGCCCTGCCTGTGTCTGGGCCAGCCTGCGATAGTGTTGTGAGTCCATTTGGAAACTATATATGTTGTCTTCGCCAGGTAGAAATAGAACGGATTCCATACGTACTGACGTGTACGTGTACAACCTGATTAGGGCCTATTCGTTTCTCACGGAATGGATGACTGGAATGATTCCAGCCTGGAATGCAGTGGAAATTTATGCTATTTTTTATCATCTGGAATGAATTCACACGGAACGTGTCATTCTCAAAAAAGTA